TTGCCAGGACTCCATTCCCAAGCTTTTTAATTTCCATTTTCCCACAGTCCTCCACGCCACCAATCCTTTGGCCAAATCAAATCAAAGGGAGTAGCTATTTTATTCGCTAGACATTGTCCTTTCACTATGTCTGACTCCCTTGTAGATCCTGAGGGCAGATACTTGTTTATAAAGGGCTCTTTTGCCAATAGACCCATTACATTTGCTAATGTTTATGCTCCCAACACCAAACAGGTATCTTTCATGCGTTCAATCACTACCACCGTAGCTGCGTTCCAATCAGGAGTATTGATATTAGGGGGCGATTTGAATATCGAATACAACTACAACACTTACAATTGCACGACACTTGGAGAACCCTCTACCCTACTGTGAAGGATTACACATTTTATTCCGCTACACATAATAAATACTGTAGGATAGATTATTTTTTTTTCTGTCGCAATCAGATCTCCCACTCCTCCATGCTGCTTCCATAGAGCCAATGGTTCTTTCCGATCACCACCCCATCACAATGACCTTATGGTTCCCAGATAAATACATACACTCGAAATTTAGGTGCCTAGACACCTCCTGTAAGGGACCGCCCGGCGGTACCACTAACACTGCACTGAATAGGCGTCCCCAGCGCACGGAGTCTAAGTCCCAGGGTGCTTGTTCACCAGGGCCCCTGATGGTGGGGATGGACTTGGAGCCCCCCGAGACCAGGTCGTGGCTACTGGGTGCGTCCGTCAGTGGTAGTGGTATGCGCCAAGGGCTCCCACGGGAAAGAGTCTGATATGAGGAGGTCAGAAGACCCCACTGCGAGGGATGGGCGGATGGATGGATGAGCAAGGTCAGACGGGCCGGGTCGGTAAACAGAGAGGACGGTAAGGTACAAGGCAGCGGGCAGAGAATGGTCGGGTCACACGCCAGGTCAGCAACAGCAGGTCAAATCCAATAGGGGGAATCCAGGAGAGAGGTCAGGCAAAGCAAGGGTCAGGATAGGAGAAAATAGCAAGGTCAGGTACAATCCGGGTCAATAACTTACAGGGTACAGGTTCGCAGAATCACAAGATGCAGGAAAGACCAGAAGGCACTGAATGACAGCTCAGGGCCATTTAAATATCCCGCCCTGCGCTGCCATTGGTGCCCAGAGGGCGGCCGCGGCTTCTACTGCGCATGCGCGAACTCGAACGCCGCGGCCGGCCCGGACCTAGTGCCCGTGTCCCTGCACAGAGCGGTGCACTGCGCCTGCGCCGGGACCATCGCGGCGGGGATCGAGGAGATCCCTGACACCTCCCTTCTTGCAGATTCTGCTATCGAACAGGAGATCTGCTCTAATCTGATGGAATACTTTTCACTAAATTGCTCTCCGGATACCTCCCCCCCTCATGCAGTGGGAGGCCCATAAGTGTGTTATCCGTGGCTTCCTCATAGCTGCGGCGACGAAGCATAAAAGAGATAGACAAGAGCGTTTGAAACTCCTTACGGATAAGATCCATTCTTTGGAGAGAGCATATAAGCGGTCTCTGGCTGCATCGACCCTATCCGAACTCACGAGCACACGCTCACTACTTCTTACAGAGCTGGGTAGGGTGGTCAGGAAACGGTATATTCTCTTAAAAAAGCTATACTATGAATTTGCTAACAAGAGCGGAAAGTTTCTTGCCAGAGCCCTCCGCGAGAGACGATCCAGTATGACAGTGCATAGAATTAGAGGTTCCGATGGTACTATGGCCACATCTAACCCGGACATTGCCATTCATTTCGAACTCCTTTATAAATCCTTATACAACCTCCCTCCTGAACGCTCCCCTCCGCATACCGACAAATCCAGGGCTTCCTTGATTTCTGAATTCCTCCATCTCCACGGCCCGCCGGCTCTCCCGGAGGACTTGGTTAACTCCCTGGAAAAAGACCTGACCCTGAATGAGCTGCAGTGTGCTTTGAAGCAGATGAAACCAGGTAAGAGCCCGGGCCCTGATGGTTTCTCGGCAGCCTACTACAAATCCTTCTTAGATATCCAGGGTATTCCCTTCCTTTCGGTGTTTAACACTCTCTCTCAACCCCCCAGCCTCAACATCGACTTTTAGAAGCTCATATAACAGTCATCCCCAAAGGTGATAAAGACAACACGCTGGTTTCTAACTACAGACCCATTTCCCTGCTGAATGTGGACATTAAAGATCCTCGCTAATCAACTCCTCCCCCTGCTTCCCTCCCTGATCAATCTAGATCAAGTGGTATTCATACCGGGTAGGGAAGCCAGGGACAACACCATTAAGGCCCTTAACCTTCACCAAGGACTCCCTTTCCTATCTTGGAGTACAGCTTACCCGCAACCTCGACGATCTTTATGCAAAAAATTTCCTTCCCGCACTTCGGTCTCTCTAAGAGGATCTAAATAAATGGCACCGTCCTTGCTTCTCTTGGTTTGGAAGGGCAGCAATAATCAAAATGAATATACTCCCCTGCCTCCTTTATCTTTTCCAAACACTGCCAATTCATCTACCTGTTGCTTTTTTTACATCTTGCAAAAAACTGTGCTCTTTATTCTTATGGAACCATAAACATCCGCGTATTGCGTTCTCTCAATTGACTCTTCCTAAACTTAGAGGTGGAATTGGGCTCCCTGACCTTCACCGTTACTATTGGGCATGTCACCTTTCCCGCATAGTGGATTGGCACGACCACACTGCCTCTAAAGACTGGGTCCACCTAGAAAATGCCTTCTCACCCTCACCCCTGGGATCGATTCCATGGCTACTGCCGAAACACACGCCTCAAGTCCTTCTCACTCACCCTTTGGTGGGGCCCACTTTAAAATTTTCCGCCTAACTTGTAAATCAGCATCCATTTCTGAGTCACCGAATCCCTTAACCTCTATTCGCCTTAATCCTGACTTCCACCCCGGCATGCACAAAGACTTTTTATCTAAACATTGGCCACATGACCAGATTTTGGTTAAACACTTTCTCCACGAAGGCAAGGTGAAACCATTCCACGATCTGTGTGAAAGCCTGGGTATTCGTGAACTTCCTTTTTGGGCCTATTTGCAGATAAGGCACTTTTTGCTTTCACATAAACCGTTTCATAATTGGACTTGTCCTCTTACTCCTTTCTAATCTATATGCTCGAAAGCTGAACCACGTAAACATCTGATCTCGGAGATTTACCCCCTCCTTGTTGAAAGCAGGGCCTACAACTCTCTACCCTCCTGCCAGGCTTGGAACAGAGACCTGGAAGATAGTCCGTCGGATTCCGACTGGGACCTAATATTCATGTATTCCCATAAATGCTCCCTTAATGTCTCGACACAGGAAAATGGCTACAAACTGGCTTCGAGATGGTACCGTACCCCATCGAGAATCTCTCATTTCAACCCCTCCTTTCCCAACAGTTGTTGGAGATGTGGAACACCGGATGGGTCTTTTCTCCACATTTGGTGGTCCTGTCCGGGCATCCAACCATTCTGGCAGGAGGTCCATAGGCTTGTAGTTTCCATGACTACCTTGCCCTTAGCTCTGTCTCTAGCTCAGTTTCTTCTCCATCACTCTTCCCTTCCCAAGGAACAATACTTCAAATCTTTAGCCATGCATATGGTCAATGCAGCCAGACTCTGTCTTCCCGTTCGATGGGGCTCCACTCGCCCTCCCTCCATACGTGATTAGCTGACCCGTGTGGGTAAAATGGCAGAAATGGAAGAACTGGTTGCGACTGCACTTGACACCCCTACTAAATTCTCCCATATCTGGGCCTGCTGGACTCACTTCATATCTACCCCTACATACCAGTCGCTCATGGACCGATCTGCCTGACTTAATTTTATCCTCCTGTGGGCGATACTCCTTTACCCTAGATCCTATTGTAGGTAACTCTCTTTTTTCCTCCAGGGTTTTTTCCCCACCTTCTTGACCTGGGTGATAGCCTAATGCTTGAACTCATCCACGTATGACCATTGGTATTAATGACAATACAAATCCCGCTAGTTTCCCCCCCCCCTTCTTTTTTTTTTTTCTCTCTCTTTTTTCTCCCCCTCTTTTGCTCTTTTTCCTTCTTCTTTCCCTCTTGGCACATTTGTTGATAAATTTTGGATACCTTTCCAGAGAACATTGGCATGCTAATAACTTACTTTCTCTACTCTCATCAGCGGCCATCACGACAGTTTCGGTTTGCTTTCAGATACCTCTACTGACGTGAGATTTTGGCTTTGTCCTCGGCATTGGTACCGCATCTACCCTCCCTCCCTTTACAGCTCCTCAGTGAGTTTACACCCGTAGGAGACTCGACGCGGCAATATTTCAAATCATACTAAAATAACGCCTGAGTATTACAAGCATCATTTTGTCGTAGACTAGTAAAACAATGTTGCATATATTTCTGCATGCTACTTCTTGCTTTGTCAGGATATGCATTGCCAAATGTCTTATCTAAGTATCATTTGCACATCTTCTGCATCATTCTGTACTTCATCAATAAACGCTTTTTTTGGTAAAAAAAAAAAATGCCTATTTTGTGAGGAAAAAAAATTAAATTGTATTGACTATTCATTTGCAAAGTTTTAAAACAGAAACATAGGGAAACAAGTTTTTTTTTTTCAATATTTTCTTTTTTTTTTCTCATTTTCTTAGTGAAAGTGAATTTTAACCACCTCACACCAGCCATATAGTCCAATGACGGGCGCAAGTTGGTTCTCTCCTTCTGGGAGGACGTCATATAACGCCCTCCAATTCTCAACGCGCATGCGTGGCTCATGGAGCGCGCGGCGATCGGCAGTGCGCTGTGTCCCTCGGACACAGTGGATCACCGATCTACGGAAAGAGCCGAAGATGTCGGCTCGGTCATGTGATCAGCTGTGTCCAATCACAGCTGATCATATGTAAACAGGGAAATGCCGGTTATCGGCACTTCTCTCCTCACGAGCTGTCACGCTGACAGAGGAGAGGAGAGCCGGTAATCGGCATTCCACGGAGGGGACATGTACACTGATCATCAGGGCACTGATGGTCAGTGTGCCCTGATGATCAGTGTGGCCCCAGAAGTGCCACCTGTCAGTGTCCATCAGTGCCAGCTGTCAGTGCTGAACACTGTCACATGCCAGTGCTGAACACTGTCACATGCCAGTGCCCATCAGTGCCACATCAATGCCACATGTCAGTGCCTACCAGTGCACATCAATGCCACATATCAGTGCCCATCTGAGCTGCCTTTCAGTGTCACCCATTAGTGCCAGTCAGTGCCGCCTATCAGTGCCTGTCAGTGCCGCCTATCAGTGCCCGTCAGTGCCACCTATCAGTGCCATATATCAGTGCTGCTTTTCAGTGCCCATCAGTGATGCCTGTCAATGCCCATCAGTGCCACCTAACATTGCCTCCTCATCAGTGCCACCTATCAGTGTCCATCAGTGCAGCCTATCAGTGCCCATCACTGCAGCCTCAATAGCGCACATCAGTGAAGGAGAAAAATCACTAATTTACAAAATTTTACAACAAAAACTAAGAAAAATAGTTTTTTTTTTTTTGGTTTGTTTAAGAAAAAATAAAAAAACCCAGAGGTGATTAAATATCACCAAAAGAAAGCTCTATCTGTAACAAAAAAATGATAAAAATTTCATATGGGTACAGTGTTGCCTGGGCAGGAAGGGGGTATAAGTGCCCTGTAGGCAAGCGGGTAAAGTTGAAATGAGGAAGTACAATAAATATAAATAATGCCACACACTTTAGCACTTTATTTCTCTCTCATAGCTTTTTGTTGGCCAATATTGTTTTTAGCATATATTCAAACATAATATTAGTGCTAGAAGTATACCATAACTCATCAAACTAACAGTTTCATAGATTTTAAATATGCATGTTATTATTAATGAGAGCTAATTATACACGTATACAAATGTTAGAGGACACAAGGCTTCAAAGGAAAAGCCCACAAAGAGAATCTTTGAGAAACTACGCTTCACACCCGGACTTCTGGGGTTAAGAACATCCTGCCAGCCACATCTGGCTTCCCCCTCCTCCTCTCGTATTTCTCAATTTCTCCTGAGTTAGCTACACAGCGTACATACAGTACATCTGGATTATGTTCCACACAAAGAAACAGCAAAGTAAGGAGCTGTCAGGACAAGATAAAGAATTACTTTTTTACAGGCACAAGAAGTTTTGGAGAGACCCTCCTATTAGCTTTACCATGAGCTGTGCCACTGTCTAAAAATCAACATGCAGTTCTTCACTGTACTTTCACACATTATTTCCAGGAGACATGCAGCCCAAAACAGACAAATAGTTGGTTACCATAAGTCTGTTTGCAAGCCTTTTTTTTTCATTTAAAGCATATGTTAACATGAACTGAATAAAGTGTCAAGTCTGGCATTGCAAAACAGTAAGCCATTAAATGATTCATCTATGTATACATGATGATTTCAAAAATATTTTCAGGGAAGACTAAAGATTTGTTTTTAACAAATGTCTGACAGTTGTGCTTGGTCAGCAATGTCTGCCTCTCAAATTACCTTTATGCAGGACTCCCTTCGGGGCTGCAAGTTGTGTAGCCCAGTTTTGATTGCTAGATCTTGGACAAGCACTCAGTTAACTGCCTTCTTTTCTTATTATTAGGGATTTTTAGTATATTAATGATTTACTTTTTCAATAATTGTATTGATATTTTAAAGAACGAGAAAAGAACAGCATAAAAGACCTTTTGTTCAGAGTCTAGAACAGAAATAAAGTAAAATATAATGAAGTGATTCATAATTTAGCATATAATGTATATGTCAAAGCTTTATAATGAATATTGTAACTGATCCCAATGTTCTCTTCTTCCCTTGTTAGTGATGGGAAGTGAGGGCCTCCCCAAGTCGGAAGGACAGATGAGATACATGGAAACATAACAGAACAGAACAGGACAGAACAACAAAACAGTTGTTTTGGGGAAGTAAGATTGATATTGTTAAACATATCTTAATAGAAACAAGGAGCAATCAGTACACAGAGGTAGAAAAGATAAATAATAGTCAAAGAAAAAGTTAGAGTGAGAGATGAGGTTAGGTCAATATAGAAAATGTATTAGCTTACACCAGACATGGTAGTAAGCCACGAATCCCATCTATTTTATATATTACAGCTTTATCATTCAGAATAGCAGAGATCTGTTCATTAATTGTTATCCATGTCATTTTCACTTTAACTAGATCAAATGGGAGGAAGGAGCCTGACCATGGCTTGGAGCAGGAGCTCGATGTGAGGGCTCCTGGCTCCCAAGCACCTCCAGTGTCCTGCCGAGAAGGGGAGAGATGTGCAGGAAGCACTGGAGAGACTATCAGGGGAGAGGGGGGGCTTGCCTGGCAGGGAGTGTGGACCGAGGACCTCTGGGAGTGGTGGCCATCGTGATGGGTCTTCCTGTGCTCTCGACCCGATGCTGTGTGTTCCCTGGAGCTCAGTGGACGCCGGGCGATCAGGTGATCTGCCACAAGGGAGCTCTGGGAGGCAGAGGAGCCGGCCGGTGTTTCTTGGAGCAAGGGAAACGCCGGCTCTCTTCCTCCTGCACACAGGACTATGGCAGCTGGAGACATGTGGAAACGGGCTGGGTAAACCCCCCCCTGCAATCCACTCATTGTGTGAGGGGAATGTCGAGTGCAATGTTCCCCAGAATAGAGTACATGGAGCCGCCTCATGACTCACTTGGAGTAAAGGAAGAGATGTCCTAAAGTGCAGGAAAGTCTCTCAGAGAAGTTCAATCTCTATAGAAACCAGAGATCTCACATGGGGGAGAAGTATTCCTGTTTCGAGTGCGGGAAATGTTTTCATTTAAGTCCTATTTTTACATATACCAGTGATAATACAAGAGGGAGCAGCCATACCCTTGTTCAGAGTGTGGGAAATGTTTTTCATAGAAGTCCAGGCTGCATATATATCAGAGACCTCACATGAGGAAGATGCTATATCCCTGTTCTAAGTGATGGAAATGTTTTTTTCAGACAAAACTAGACTTTACATATATCAGAGATCTAACACAGGTGAAAAGCCATATGTCTGTCCTGAGTGCGGGAAATACTTTTAAGTGAAGCTTAGTCTTCACACACATCAGGGATCTTACACGAAGGAAAAGTTGCATACCTGTCCAGAGTGCGGGAAATGTTTTTTCATGTAAGTCCTATTTTTTATATATACCAGTGATAACACAAGAGGGAGCAGCCATACCCTTGTTCAGAGTAGTACCGGAAATGTTTTTTCACAGAAGTCCAGCCTGCATATATATCAGACATGTATGTAAACATATATATCAGAGTCCTCACATGAGGAATATGCTATATCCCTGTTCTAAGTGCTTGAAATGTTCTCAGATAAGTCTAGACTTTACATATATCAGAGATCTTACACAGATGAAAAGGCATATGTCTGTCCTGAAATACTTTTCAGTGAAGCCCAGTCTTCACACACATCAGAGATCTTACACAGAGGAGAAGTTGTATACCTGTTTGGAGTGTGGGAAATGTTTTTCAGAGAATCCCTTTTCTTCATATATGACAGCGATCTCATACGGGGGAAAAGCCATATTGGGGATAAGAGGGTGAGTAAGAGCGGCAAAAGTACTGAGATTAATATATTGCATGGGAACTGAACTGTATGTATTGAATTATATGTTTAAACTGAGGAGGGGTTCACCCAGGGGGTCTTAGAGGAAAATCAGAAGGAGGACAATGTATAACAGATAAAGACCTGAAAGAAGAGAGACCTGGGTAGATGAGTTCGGGAGAGGGGAGAGAGAAAAAGGAAGAAAACTGAGAGGGGGATACCCATGGAAGACAACAAATTTTGATATCAAATCAAAAAAAGACCCCCCCCCCTTTCCCAAAACCAGAACTGTGGAAAATTTAAATAGTCCTTGACAGCATGAAAAACAAAGTATCAAAGGGAGGAGGGACTAAGGCTTCCCAAACAGGTCAATTAAAAAATATATACCCTCACAGGAGAAACAGACTCCAGAGAGACAACAGGGAATAAGTGTAAAGAGGTGAGAGGGAAAACAGCAGGGAATGTTCCAGACTATGCTTGGGAATAGCTCACAGTAGTCAACATATGGAAGAAGAAGTGGATATGGATAAAGTAGAAGAACAAGAGGAGAGCTCACAGATGCCCTACTAAAGCAGAAATAGCAGAAATGTTTAAAGGACTTGAAAGATCCCTAAAACAGGAACTGGCGAAATTATACAAAGATCTGGGGCAAATATTATCAAGGGTGGAGGAGATGGAAGAAAAACTAGATAAACATGCTTAAATTATACAGAAGTTAGAAAAACGAGCGATGGAAATGAGAAAAGAACAAAGAAATCTGTTATATAGGAGATGCAATTTTTAAGGATACAAGGCTTTCCAGAGATCTCCCAAGAAGAAGATTTGACGGGAATAATAACGAGAATGCTGAATACTATAATGGATAGAATTATAACAGAGACTCCTAAGATGGAGGGAGTATATAGAATAGGAAAATACATACAAGAAGATAAAAAGGAAAAGCCAAGAGATGTAATAGTGCAATTCCATAATTTTCAGGATAAAGAAGAGCTTTGGAAGAAGATAAAAGGAAGAGCAATAATAAAATATGGAAAATAAATATACAGATCTTTGCTGATTTAGTAGTGGAAACATTAATAAGAAAGGAGAACTTTGAAACTGTTACTGGAACAGATGAGAAAACAGAATGTTCGATATAGCTGGGGGTTTCCAGCATGTTTGATCAGATGGAGAAATGGCTGTTCAGCAAGACTGAGATTCCCCGAAGATCTGAGAGACTTTTGTGAGAGACTTGATATACAGAAATAAATATCCCTGGTTGGGAGGAAGAAGGAGAAATGTGGGATATGGAAATTGAGCGGAGGCAGGTAGCTCTAAGGAGAAATAGAGAGTAGGAATGGTAAAGAGGAATAAAATGGGAGGGAGGGGGTTCTCGCCTTTTTTTTTTTTTTGTTTTTTTTCCTTTCTCTCTCTCTCTCTCTCTCTCTCTCTCTCCCTCCATTTCTGCCTCTTTCTTATATGATCTTTTGAAGTTTACTAGAGTATGGCAGGGCATGGAGGATGAGACACACTTATGGGGAAAAGTTCATGGTCAGAGCTTCACCTTAATAGCTGAATCAAAGGTGGGGTTAGGACCACAAATGATTCATAGGGAAAATGTAAGCCTAAAGGGAGATGGGGGGGGGGGGTGAGGTTAGGGAGAGGAGTGGGAGTGAGGAGAGGGACGGGAGGGTGGGAGGAGGGTATGGGGAGGGGATAGGTAGTTTAAAGACTCTGCGAAATAGTGGGAGAAACGTCAGTCTGGAGAAATCTAGAGATCAAAGAGGAATATGTGGAGGAAAGAGGAAGAGTGAAGAGATGGGGAAGATAGAGGTGTGGAGAGGAGAAGAATGGAAGAGATTCACTTTGTGACTTATAATGTTAAAGGGTTAAATAGCCCTGGGAAGAAATTTGGGATTTTTAAAGAAATTCAACATAGATTTTCTTCAGTGTTTTTTTTTACAGGAGACACATTTAGTGCAAGAATCAAATGTGAAATTAAATTCCAGATATTATCCAATGTGGTTTTATGCAGATTCCCCAATTAAAAGGGTCAAGGGAGTGGCAATAGATTTTGCGAAAAATATAAGGTTTAAGCTGGAAGACAGATTGGTAGATCTGGAAGTGAGGTTTCTGAAGGGAAAATTACAGGAAATAGACCTTACATTAGCAAATATTTATTGCCCGAATAAGAAACCGGAGGTATTCCTAAAAAAATACTCTGAGGAAGCTAATGGATTTAAAAAAAGGCAATTTAATTGTGGCAGGTGATTTCAATCTCTGCATGGATCCCCAGATGGATATGATGTTCCCTGTGCAGAGAGATGGTAGTAGGTCTCTGAAATCCTTGAAAAAAATGATATACCAATGTCAATTTGTAGATATATGGAGAATTAAGCACATGAAGGACAGAGAATATACGGTTTATTCTCATGCACATGAGATGTATTCAAGACTGGATTATATATGGCTGGACCATCAACTTATCGAGTCTCTGGTCAAAGTAAAAATAGAAGTGATGTCAATATCGGGACCATGCCCCTGTCACAATGCAATTATTATGGGGAAATGAGCAGATCGGGGGGAAATTTTGGAGGGTATGAGACACTTCTCCAGGATTCAGCAGGTGGATCAAAGAATAAAAAAAAGAAATAGAGCAATTTTTTGAGGAAAATGATTCTGGGGAAGTGTCCGTAGCAACGGTGTTGGAGGCTCATAAGGCCTATATTAGAGGAATCCTAAGAGCGCTTGGAGCAAAAAAAGAAGAGGGAAAGAAGAAAAAAATAAACAAGCTTCTTAGTGAACTCTGTGAGTTAGAACAGATACATAAACATAAAAGTAACAAAAGAGATTATGCAGAGGGTAATAAATAAAAAGAATTAAATAAATTTCTGGAAGAAGATAAGAGTGTTCAATAAAATGATAAGTGAGAAATACAGATGGGGAGATCGACCAGGAAAGTATTTAATGAGGGCTCAGAAGAAAAAAAAAAATCTAGGCACTATATAGAGAAAATAAGAGACCACAAAGGAGATTTAATGTAATCAACTAAAGATATAGCTAAAGTGTTTTAAAGATATTATAATAAGCTATATAATATTATCCCCCACAGCTCCATAAGTAAAGATGAAGTAGGAAAAATAGAAAAAAGACAAACATACTTAAAAAAGGCAGGATTACAAAAATTAAGTGAGGAGCAATTAAAATCCCTAGAATAAGCAATAACGCAGGAGGAAATACACTTAGCATTAAAGAGCACTATAGCCAGTGGTGTATTTAGATTTTCTGCTGCCCTAGGCAACACAAAAATTTTGAGCCCCCCCAATGAGAGAACAAGAGAGTCAATAAGTATATGTATATATGATTCTCTCTCTCCCTTTCTTTCTCTTCTCTCTCTCCTGCTCTCTCTCTTCCTTCTCTCCCCCCCCTCTCTCTTTCCCCCTCCCTCTCTCTCTTCCCTCTCTCTCCCTCTCTTCTTTCTCTCTCTTCCTTCTCTCTCTTTCTCTCTCTCTCCCCCTCTATCTCCCCCCTCTCTCTTCTCTCTCTCTCTTCCCTCTCTCTCTCTCACTCCCCCTCCCCCCCCCCCCTCTCTCTCTCTCTCCCCCCCTCTCTTCCCTCAATCTCTCCCTTCTCTCCCCCCTCTCTCTCTCCTCTCCCCCACTCTCTCTCTTCCCTCACTCTCTCCCTTCTTTATCTCCCCCTCTCTCTCTTCCCCCCTATCTCCCCTCTCTCTTCTCTCTCTCTCTCTTGCCCCCCTCTGTCTCCCCTCCCCCCCTCTCTCTCTTCCCCCTCCTCTCTCTGTCTCCCCCCTCCCTCTGTCTTCCCCCTCCCTCTCTTTCTTCCCCCTCCCTCTCTCTCTTCCCCCTCCCCTCTCTCTCTTCCCCCTCCCTCTCTCTCTTCCCTCTCTCTCTCTTTTCCCGCTCTCTCTTCCTCTCTCTTCGTTTCTCAGATCGTATGGGGCTGCACACACACACACCTGCACCAAGGGCTGCTGATCTCCAGGCAGCAGGAAGGAGGAGGTGTGTGCAGCCCCATACGATCTGTCAGTGTAGGAAGGGAGGCAGGTAGATCCCACAGAACACAGCACAGCTCACCTCCTCCTGGCTCTCCTCTCCCTGCTCCAGGCTGTCTCCTGGTCCTGGCTCGTCAGCTGCTGGAAGGAGAAGTACAGGACCATCGCTCTGCAACTGCCTTCCCCCACATCGATCCTCCTGCTGTCTGGGCCACTGAAAGAGTACCGAAGCTACCCCACTGATGGCGGCTCTGCATGGCTCTGTCCGCCGCTGCTCAAAAGGTCCTTTCTTCCGGGCCGGCGGCGGTGACATACCCCTAAAAATTGCCGACCTAGGCAAACGCCTTGTTGGCCTTGCGGTAGATACGCCCCTGACTATAGCTGGGAAAAGTCCAGGACCTGATGGATACACAGTGAGATATTATAAAAAAATATAAAGAATTATTAGTATCTAAAATGAGGATATATATAAATGCATTTGGAGGAGAGATGGAAATGAGGAGGGAATCCCTACAAGCCCATGTAGTTCTCATACATAAGGAAGGTAAAGATGATACTCACTGGGGGGCGTGGTCTGCCGTGTGAGGAAGATGGCCGCTTAGTCTGAGAGCTCCCGCCGGCCGGATCCCTCTATGCCGCTTTGCAGAGGAACTGGGTGAGCCTGAACTGCCTCATGATGGGGAAGACGGACCGGGCATCATCTGGTGCCCGTTCACGCTCCCCCTGGAGTTATAGCACGCAGGGGAGACATGTTAAGGAGCTTTTCCGCTCCCAAAAGCAGAGAGAGGGACAGCAGCCATCTCCTTCCCCCTCTGCATCTCCCCCCCCCTCCACAGCCGCTGATATGGCGAGTCCCTCCTGCTCTGCCACACATGCAGCACCAGACACAGTGCCCCAGAATGACACCCCTTCTGCCTCACAATCTCTTTCCCTAAGGGATCTTCAGATGGTGGCTGCAGACATCAAAGCCACCCTGACCACCTCATTAACCACCGCTGTGAATGTTTTAAGGGCAGACATACAGGCGCTGGGATCAAGATTAGACCATGTGGAAT